GCCTTGGATTAGATCTTGCCACCTTTGTTCTGAAATTGCTGGTTGAAGTTGTACCAAACCGAGATGTAAAGGCTTCATCAGAGGATAAGAATCCAGGTACATGCTGTTTTGGTTTTGGATCTTGATATCCAGACAGAAATCCTGGAGAATATGATTCTTGATATGTGGGTAATCCAGATGACATATAGTCAAAAGGATTATACACATTAACTCGCCTCTGATTCTAGACTAGACTTTCTAGGCTCCTTTGAAGATCTTTGAGTTGATATTTAAGATTGGTTTGTTCAGCTTCTTTACTTCTGAACTGAGATGTATTAACTTTCATCTGTTTCGCCATAGACATCATTTCCAGGTGCAAGTTGCTGAGTTTCTGTTGAATCTCTGATATGGCTCCTTGTAGACTGTTGAATCTTCTATTGTTGTTCTCCGACATTTGATCAATCTTGTGGCTAATGGATGACAGTAATTGATTCTGAACAAAGGCATTTTCTGTTTGCCAGTTGAGAACCTTCTCTGCTTGGCTTAATTCGTCGGGTCCAGAGGAGTTGATGTTGTTCGGAACAATTTTTGGTGTATGCACAATATTGTCCTTGACAAAGTCTTTTGGTGGAGGAAAATCCATCCTTATCATCATGAGTTGCTGGTTTGAGTCATCCTTCTTTGTTGAATACTCGACTATGAAGTCGTAGTTGTCGTCACCAAGTGGACCTACTGTAGGATCTCCTTCAAGGTAGCGTTTATAAAGTGGATCCTTCTTTTTTCTCCGTCTTCTTCGCTTTTCATCATCTGATTCATAAGAATCTTCCAAACATGCGGTGCATGAGCAGACATCGAAGTAACAATGTCCGTTCTCATCTTTGAATGGATATACAACAGTTCCATTCTGACCAAAAGCGATTGGTTGAAGATCTTTCTTTTTGACGGGATCATAGAACTCTTGCTCCTCAATTTGGATAGTGAATTGAGTAAAGAGTTTCTTTTGAAAAGACGATCTAGGCTTTTCGAACTTTATCTCAGTGGTTCCATCGCTTCTAGAGTGAAAGCTTACGTCAGATGACTGGATCGGTGCTTGAGATGCTTGATGTATCTTCTCATAGCTTGTTACCCATGACTCTGGCAGTTTTCGTAGCAATTCTTCTCGAGATATCTGTCTTGTTTATCTTCTTCTGAACTGCTTGGTCTTCCTTTGTTGAACTTCACCATGTAATACTGTAAATCTTCATCAAGTTGCATCTGATAGTCGACCGGATAATGAACCCAGTTGGGTATGAACGGAAAAATTGAATAAGTTCACATTTTACATTATTCACAAAACCAATTATTCACAAAACCAACCACTGCCGTGAATTTAGTTTAGAGGTTTGATTTCACATGTGTGAAAAGGGGGTTATCCTACCAACGTTGTGTTGGTCTAGTGGTAAATCTTCCAGGTGGAGATACTGGGTTCGACGCCCGTTGGGAGTAATCTTTTCGGACTTGAAACTTCCAGATATTCAAAAAAAAAAAAAAAGGGGTTATCCTAAACTGTTCTAACGTTTAAGTCTAACCCTCTTCTTTGATACAAATTATTGGTAACATGATAAAAATTTTAGTGTGTGGATGTTCTATAATTTATTATTGATCCGATTGGTAACAAAATTTTTACAAAAATTTTAACGGTAAATTTTTACGGAATAATGTAAAACTTTAAAAAAGATTGATATAAAAGTTGTACAAAAAAACTTTGAGTATTGCTTTTGGTAATGCTTTTAATATTGCTTTTGTAATTGATAATTATCAAAGCGGTACATCATGTACCACATCGGTACATAGTTACCAATCAAAACCATTATTTCATTATTTACACATGGATGTTGCTAGTATTCTAAAAACAGACCATCTAGATGCAAAACGGCCATATGCCTTCTGAATCATACGGTTTTTTGTTAATATGTGGTCTCAAGTCTTAACCGTTGAAAATTATCGTTTATTTATTTATTGATGTAGTTTTTAATTTATAATTACATAAGATTAAATTTCAAGTTCTAGATTTATCAAAATTCTAAATTCTTAGCGCTTAACGATTTTTAAAAAATAGATATTTAATACCAAAATCGATTGCAAAGATTGTTAAAATTCAATTTGCCCAAAAAAAAAAAAGATTGTTAAAATTCATAGATACTCTCAACCATTGACTACAATTACATTAACAATTATTTACAATTTTTGGGCCCACATCATTACAATGCAATAAATGTCTAAGAATTATAGAAAATTTCTCTCTGTGGAAATAAAAGGATGCAAGGATCTCTTGGATAAAAACGTGCATGCAGAAATCCTTAAGAAAGTTGAGACTTTGCAGCTTAACAATCTCGAATATAACTTTTCTACTTAAATTCATCAGAATCCTCTGTATTGTATACCTATAGAGGAACCTCATAAGCGTATGAATATATATATTTTTTTTTTCAAAATGCGTATGAATATATATAAACACACATGCTAGACCAAAAAAAAGTATTTGAATTTTATAGTTGACAAAAAATATATTTAATTTTATACATAGATAATGTTTCTGTAGTGACAAGCATGATGATGTATCGAGATCACGATAAGGGATAGTTGAACAGTAAATTTGAGATGAAAACTTAAAATAAATAAAAACAGTTGACACACCATTTTCTCCCCGAAGAAGAAAATTCATAAAATCTAATAAAAAGTCACGATCATGTATTAAAATAAAAGTTTATTATGTCGGCTCTACACCAAAATAGTTTATCTCGTCAAGTTGTCTTGATTCTTGAATTCTAAAGGGAACTTTTATTTATTTATATATTATATTCATTCTAAAGAGAACTTTGATGAAATTTGCTTTTAGGAAACACGATAGATCATTGATTTCACATTAGATCCTAATCTTCTACATAATTGCATTAGTTCTTGACCTTATTTTTCTTTAGTTTCAAAATCATAATATAACCTCTTAAAAATAAAACCATTTTAGCTTAGTTCTGAGATAGCAGAATAATATATTATTTTTTTTATCAAACTGATAATTTTCATTGAAATTAAATCTCAAATTCACTCAAAAGAGGAAGAAATACAATCCAGTAAAAGATAAATATAAGATAACAAAGCAAAAAATACTTTAAAATATTCTAAAAAAATAAACTAAAGATAAATACAAGATACAATTTTATAAAGGAAGCCAAAAGAGATCGAAACAGGACGATCCCAAAGACTCCACGAGAGAGTGTATCCAGTGCAACCCGAAGGGTTACAAACTCCGCAACAAGGGCAGAGGAAGCTCTAACAACCTGGAAAAAGATCTTTTTAATACCGACGACGCTTGATCATCCAAACCACTCCAAATAAGAGAGACTTTTGAGAAGACAAAGAGGCAATGGGTGCCAAGATGAGGAAGCATAGCCCTAAACAGAGACTTATCTCAGGGGCGGATCTACCTTAATTAAAACGGGGGCAGTTGTCACCCCTAATTTTTTGAAACCTTTGAAGAGTTTTAAGGAATTAATTTAATTGCCCCCCTATAAAAAATCCATCTTGCCTCCCTTAAATTTTTGTTTTCCAATTAACCAAATTGACGTTACCGAAAAAAAAGGTAAATGAATATTAGTTATCTCTTTACCCCTTTAATTTATCTAATTAGTTACAAATTTAAATCTAAATAGAAATAACAACATTATCTAAATGCATAGACCATAATATTTCTTTTCTTTTGTATCAAGTAAAAAATTAATGTTTAAAAAATTTGTCTCTTCCCATAACTTTGACGGTTCATAATTATGATAACTGGTTTCTTTATATTTTTTATGTGTTGTTTTCCAAATATTTGAGTTTTCTATAAAAAAAAACTTAACTAAAAAACAAAAAATCTAGTAAATATAAATTTTAAATCAAACTAAATATTTTAATTCAAAATCTCTAAGTTTTAAACATTACTCTTTGATTTATTTAAACTCAAATGATTTTTAAAAGAAATATTGTATCCATTTTACTTTTCTTATATAGTATAATAAATTTTATATATCATAAATAACAAAGCAAAAAATATATTCAATATTTTATATTTAATATTCTTATATATATATATATATATATATTATTTTTTTTACATAAGATATAAATATTGATCGCCCCCTCTAAATTTTTGTTCTAGATCCGCCACTGACTTCTCTACACTTCCCAAATTACATCAACAAAAACATAGATGTCAATGCTAAAGATCCGGACAAAACCTTTGGTAACATAACATATTTGAACAAGTCTAACAGAGACCTGATCAATACAAAGTAAAACAGAATCACCATTAATAGATTAGTGATGTAGTTTGTCCTTCTCATATTTTTAACAAAATAATAACATATTACATATATATATAGATGATGATTAATGAATAATGTATTTTTTTTGTTTACAGTTTGATGTTTCGAAAACGTGTTTCTACTAGTATATTTCACTATTAATAACATAATAACATTTTCATGTTTGGTCGACCAAAAAGTTTTCATGTTTTCGAAAATTGATGATGTACAATGTGTTTGAAATATAACTAGAGAAAAACGAAACCTTATTAATATACAAAAACATATCTTATAGCTTTTATTATAATTTTGGATACTCTACTAATTAATGAGAGTTCTTACTGTTTGATCATTGGGTTGTTCCACTATCCTATTATTCATACGACATACAAAGTCATATTTATAGGGTTAGGATAAGTTACCATAATGTGGAATAACTTACAATAAACGTGAAAACTTGTGGATTGTTGTCACAATCACAACTATTTATTATCTTTAGATCTCACACAAATTTTGTTCTGTCAAGTGAATGTATCCAACGTCAAATTGGCAAAAGCCAGCTAGCTATAAACAACCAAAAAAAAAAAAAATACCTCTCAATAAAAATAGGGTCATCAAAACACAAGCAAATATGGACTTATGTTGTTGTCATGATAAATAAAAATATGTACGGGTCTTTTTAAGAGCATCAAATCAATTTAGCCCGTGGGTCCTTTTTTCTTTTACTTACTAAAGACTTAGTGAAATATTTGTCCCATATCTCCCTTTACCCCTACCACACCCCACCTCCACCCTCAAACTATTGTTGCATATAAATAAGGAAGTGATTGATAAATGTAGAGACAAATACCCATCAAACTCTGTCTCTCACTTTCCTTCATTATTAACTCATTCCCCAAAATAATTCATTTATCATATCCCCAAACTTTTTTTCTACACCGCAAAATCCAAAAAAACACAAGGGTTAAGTGTGGCATTGATGTTTTTGGTATAAAGCTCTTCTTAAAGTAAGATCACCAATGATAGCTTCAGAGAGTACTTCCAAGACCTCGGAAACTAACTCAGTAAGTCAAGAGAGCAAAGAAGAGAAGAAGATACCGGTTAAAGATACCGGTAAGCACCCGGTTTACCGGGGAGTCCGAAAGAGGAACTGGGGAAAATGGGTGTCGGAGATACGCGAACCGAGGAAAAAGTCCCGTATATGGCTTGGAACTTTTCCTTCCCCGGAGATGGCGGCGCGTGCACATGACGTAGCTGCTCTAAGCATTAAAGGAGCCTCCGCTATACTCAACTTCCCTGACCTAGCCGGCTCTTTCCCGCGGCCTAGCTCGCTTAACCCTCGAGACATCCAAGTCGCGGCTCTCAAAGCCGCACACATGGAGACCTCGCAGTATTCTTTCTCTTCTTCTTCTTTAACGTTTTCGTCTTCACAGTCTTCTTCTTCGCTTGAGTCTCTCGTGTCTTCCTCTGGGACCGGCTCCGAGGAGCTAGGGGAGATCGTAGAGCTGCCAAGTTTGGGATCGAGCTACGACGGTTTGACTCAACTAGGTAACGAGTTTATATTCTCTGACTCTGCAGACTTATGGGCTTATCCACCGCAATGGTCCGAAAGTGATTATCAAATGATTCCTTCCTCGTTATCACAAGATTGGGATCTTCAAGGACTGTATAATTATTAAGTCATAATCATAAAAAAATATACTAGTAATGTTGTGTTTAATAATTACTTTTTAATGAACCCTTTATTTTGTAGGGTGACTTTAGGGTTATTTGTCTTTAAATTCTCTTTTTCTCAATTTGTGTGTGAGAGAGTTCGATATATGAATACTTGTACATACTTCTCATAAACATGTGTTTCTTTTTTTAATAATCAGTGTGGAAAATTTGGAAAATAAATAATATTGGAGTAATAGTAGCCAATGGAAGCCACGTACCTTTCTATTTTGAATGTAGGTTGTTGATTTAAAAGTATTATTATTATTTTTGATAACATTGATATAAAATCATGTAGGTTGTTGATTTAAAATTATTGAAGATTCCTTTTCAGTTTTCTCCCTTAGAGTTAAAACTTTCTTCTGATTAAGCATAAATTAATCCTAACCAATTGTTTGTTTTTTGCCTTTTCCTGTTTCCACTACCAGTTATTGAATTTTTATATCTGTTGATGCATATTAAAATATCCAACACTTGAATTATTTTGCCTTCGAGTCTATTATTTTATTTATCAAACAATGACTTACTCATTGCATTTCCTTTTGCGAACCAATTGTAGAACAAAAGAATCTCCTCTTCGGTCTTTGGAGCACTAAGTTCTATATAGTGTGTACTATTGTAATACAAGTAGTTTTAGTTTGATTATGTGTAAATAAATTAATAACTGTAATGAATGGTTCAAAATGGATCCCACTTTTTTTTTTTTGGTCACGATCTTACGTATCTCGTCGTTGATAAAAGGCTATAAACTTTAATGATTAACTGTAATTAGAATCCGTCACTATCCATTAAATACATTGAAAGAAGAATCTATTGAAATGACTTCTCTATAATCAAAGATTAATGTAATAACTCAATATATGCAATATGTTTATCAGTTTTTTTTTTTTTTTTTTTTTTGAAAAAGATGCATGTTTATCAGTTTATGGTTCCATGTATACACATATAACTAGGTATCTTTGCCGTTAAAAACATCCAAAATTTCTAACAATGAAAAATTTATATTTAAGTGTTAAATATGGTTTAGTTTGTCCAAAAAAAGAAAGTGTTAAATATGATAACTAAAATTTGTATAATGAACATTTTGCAAAATATTGTGGCAAATTGTTGATTAAATTAAATTTCGTTATCAAAATTATAATATAAATTATTTTTTTCATAAATACATTTGATTTCATCTATTAGAGTTTCAGTTTTAATAAATATCAAGTCAAGGTTGATAAAAAAAAATTATATTTGCATTCATTTTTGATTAGTGATACTCACTTAATTAATAAAAAAATGAATGCAGATATAATTTTTGTATGTTTTCACTAGATCACTAGAATAGAAATTAGAAATACAAAAAGTATGAATCATATACGATTGGAATTCGTTGGCAAAGAAAATGAAAATAAAACGTAAAGATCTATTGAAAACTTCTTTGTAGAATACGAGTGTACACAAAAAAAATTCATTTTCTCATAAAAGAACAAAAGGTCACAGAGCACCCAAAAATCAGGCAAATATTACGCAAAAAAAAAAAAATGTAACATGCAAACAGTAATAACGAAAATGCAATTGAATAAGTTCGAATATCACGGAATAAAATTAAGTATAACCTTTCAAGCACAGAATGAACTTTTTTGACAAACTTTTAATTTGAATTTTTACCTTTTTCTTGCTTGCCATTTCAAGAATGCTCTCAATTATTGTCTTTGTGAAAGATATTAGATAGTGGAGTCCGATATAGTAAGGAAAAGTATATACTACTAATTACTATGTGCAAAACCTTAATTTTAAAATGTTTTGTTCCGACAAGACAATATTAAATTTTAACTTTATCAAAGAAGTTATAAAAAGCTGACATTTTATTGTTAGAAAATTTTGTAATCAACGTCCAGGTAATAGTTGATTATTAGAATAACTAACTCAGAATAATGCAGCATTCAAAGCCGTTTCTATGTATTGTTGCTTTTAGGTTTGTAACTATATAGATGTTCTAGAAAATATGATATCATCAGGAATTCCAAACATCTCTTTATAAATATCTCCATTTGATATGATTACTTCTAACTATTATATTAGTCGTTCAATGTTTCAATATTATATGATTATAATGTGTATTAATTAGAGTCAGTCATTCAAAACATCGATCTTTTTATACATATATCTCCATTTGATATGATTCAATCATGACTATATTTAAAATGTGATTAGAGTCTCCTATGACTCAAACCCGAAATCTCCAATATTTTGAATAGCTAGTCTTGAAACTTGTAAGGGTTTCACGTCATATATCATGTTTTGGAATCTTGTATTAAGTTTAACAAGAAAATTAAAGCTCTTCAAGAGCTACAAGAAGAGGCATGCATGTAGAGTTGTGTTTTTTGATGACATCTCTAATACACACTTGTTTCTTACCTCCTACCCACTGAACAATCAATTGAGGTTTTTGACACTTTTTCAGGCAAACACACGTTTCATTATGCAGCTTGATGAGAAAATATTGAGGTAACTTGGGAAGCAAGACAGCGGACCAAGCCCGTGAAGCCTATGAAGCCCGTGAAGCCGAAGAATATTCTAGATATCCTATTGTGATAAGGATTAAGAGATTTAGAATATTTACTTATTCATGTTTATCTATTTCCTATTCCAATTAGGTTAAACATAAGTTAGTCTATATATTGTGTATCAATTCTCTTGAGATTAACAACACATAATAAAGAGTTTTCCCACAAATCCTCCTCTAGTTTCAACATGGTATCAGAGCAGTCGATCCTTGTGGATCAAAATTAAAATTCTGCATTTAAAGTTTTGTGATCTCACACTCAGAAGAGATCATGGAAACAATGACCGTCGAAGGACTTGACGTTGAAGACAGTGGGGACGGAGATGATGAAGATGATGACGTTAAGTGTGGATTTGTTCCACGTTAGATTTTTAATTATAATTCAATGGAATTTGGTTTTTCGTTTTTTTTTTTTTAAGAAAAGAAATTTACTCTTAGTTAGTAATGATTCTAAGGGTTTATGGCTTATATGGGTTTCTAGTTTTATTGTTTCTAGAATTATTTTTGAGTTAAGAATTTTTCAGAGTAATTTTATATCTCGCTTTTCTTATTGTGGGAGAGTTTGGTAATAGTTTTACCATTACGGGGGAGTTTGGTTATAGTTTAACCATTAGTATAGTTTATTGGAACGCTCATGTTTTTAGGTCATGTTTAGTCCGAGTTATGGACCATCTAAGATAAGGATGATTGTTTGTGGAGCAGCATAATTTGCGCCCACGGGATGTATTCCCTTTTACCAAGACCGAAGACGAGCAAAAATTCCACCCCTATTTTCAAAGTTGAAGCTTAAACCCTGAGGCGTGTGTTGACATGATTTGTCCGTCTTCGACATATTGTCCATGACTAGAGATGTCAATCGGGCCTTTTGTCCGCAGGCCTGGTCCGTTTAGTGACCTAGCGGGGCGGGCACGGGCCTATGTAGTGAAGCCCAAAAAATAGCGGGCCTAGCGGGCTTGGTCCGTTTGAATTGCGGATTAAACAAGACATGCCCATTAAGGGCTGCGGGTTTGCGGGTCGGGTTTGCGGGCGACCCACTTGTTTTTCTTCCTTCGTACCGTACAAACTGCAGAATGAGGAGAGAAGATCGATCCAAATTAAAATCGAAATCAAAATCAAAATTGAAATCGAGATTGTTGTGATTGTCGCGGTTCTTGTTGCTGTGATTTTGATAGGAATCTTAGCTCTATTTCTATGGATTATTTGAGCCATTTAAAGAACTAGCTTAGGACTTCCAATTCCACAAACCTGAAAATCACCTCATATGTTTCAAGCTTTTCCCTTAAATCTTTCTTTCTTCAATTTTCAGTGTCTTAAACTAAGAACCACCAACTTTCTTCTTCTTCCTCATTACTTCCAATTCCTTTTCCATAACCAGAATCCATAGAAGCAGATCTTGAATATGTAGATCTCTTCCACCTCCAAGAAAATCTATGTTTTATAGTCCTTTCTAAATCTCACGACACCTCCGATTTCACCATTTTGAGCAAACAACCATGGAAGTCGTCTTCACCGTTGAGCTTCTTCACGAGAATACTCTACCCGCGGGCTGGTCCGTCTAACCGATGGGCTTTGCGGGGCGGGTTAGGACTGAGTTTTATAACCCGCGGTCATCGGCGGGCCGGTCCGTCGCGGATCAGAAGAAAAGCGGGCACCTCGCGGGCGGTCCGTTTGGTCGCGGGCAGGCCCGTCTGCCATCCCTATCCACGACATACGTGTTCTGCTTTGTGAATGCAAAGTTTGCGTTTTGCGTACCACGTTTGTCGTGCGGGGGAGTATTGAGGTAACTTGGGAAGCAAGACAGCGGACCAAGCCCGTGAAGCCTATGAAGCCCGTGAAGCCGAAGAATATTCTAGATATCCTATTGTGATAAGGATTAAGAGATTTAAAATATTTACTTATTCATGTTTATCTATTTCCTATTCCAATTAGGTTAAACATAAGTTAGTCTCTATATATTGTGTATCAATTCTTTTGAGATTAACAACACATAATAAAGAGTTTTCCCACAAATCCTCCTCTAGTTTCAACAGAAAAGTTCGATTTTCACGATCGGTTTTAAGCATGTTCTAGGATCATTCATATTCAATATCATCAATTTTGTTGGCTTTACGGAATTCACCTTCTCAAGGCTATAATTTATAAATAAACTTTATAGCTTCCATGAAATTTTTCAGAATTTTCGGATAGCAAATGTATGTAATGTAAAATTGTATTACAACTTAAACCATCTACTATGGGTTTAATTACCTCTAAAATGACTAAAATTAAACAAGTTGACTTCGGGATATTACATAATTTACATTCAATAATTCTGTCACTTCTGTGGCACTTATTATACCATCACCATTTGGACTATATACAATGTTTATGAAGTCAAACTTTATAAAATGATATTTGACACGAGTCATGGATCTTATGGATAATTAATAAAAAATTACGGTAAACGCTAATAAGAAATTCTAGTAATGAAGAGTAGAAATGATCAATGACCGTGGGAAAAGAAATTTGTTCGATTCTCATTAGCAAGAAACAATTCGTGCATTTTTGTTTGCATCTATATTATTGCAGAATTGGCAATAAAATACAAAGATTATACATTTGATAAGACTATATATTTGAAATGACATTGCAACGGTTTTTGAATGATATGATGGCACAGTACCAT